TATAATAAAAAAAAAAATTGCATGGAAACCAAGGCTACACCACTATGCCAATCAAACTATCAGGCTTTTATGTTTGTGCATGTTTTAAAATTCTTTTGTGTTAATTTAGGGTCCATCTTTCATTGCTTATATATAATCTGTTGGTTCTCTTTTTACTGGTCAAATGATGCCAAATTGGTAATAGGGCATCAATCAGATTTCAGAATCTGATATCTGACCAATATTCTTTGAAAAAATAATTAAGGTATTGGCATACTAATAAGTTAATAATATTCTTAGTATTTTATCATATAGTCTAAAAGCCTATTAGTAAATATTGAAGGTATCAAATATTTAATATTTTTCCTATTTTTAGCCCAAAAACATGGAGACAACATAATGGATACATATCAGGAAAAGGTACAGCAGGCCTCAGAGAGAATCTCAAGATAGTGCATTCAAATAAGCAGAATCCTACAAACAAAGAAAAAGACAAGAATCTCAACCAAATAAAAAAAGCAAATTTACTGACTGATCCAGTGCTTGCATTAACTCAACTTCGATTATGGGCAAAACTTGATGATGCTGAAACTTTATTTTCTAAAATTTTTTTAGTTACAGAGCTTCTCTGGTTATTGTGGGCATTTGGAGTACAAACAACTAATAAGAGAAAAAATGTACTAATTCCTTTAATTGTTGACCATTTAAAAACAAGTGTTTTTCCATGGAATAAAATTATTTTAATGTCACTAATCTTTGCAATTCTTAATAAATAAAAAGAGTAAAAATTAATAAAAATGCCATTTTTATCCCAATCAAGATATAATTTGACAGGCATAAACCTTTCAACTTTTTTAACATAACTTTAGTGTATCAGCTGCTTAAAAACACTTGTGTATATGTAATGTTTAATTTTTTACTATGAAATGCGCATCATTTTTAATTTTTAAGGCGTGACAGTTTTGGATTCACAAGATCTAAATGTGTAACATTGAGTTGTCCCCCCATTTATTTACTTACCCCTAGATAATACAAACATCAACAACAACAAAACAACGATGACAACAAGGAAATGCAAAATTTCATAAAAATGATCACAATCGGCAAAGGAAACAAGTGTCACTGCGTAATTTTTTTTCCTAGTAACAAACAATCATTCGTCACCATCACTACAAAATTATAAAAGAAAATTTAATGAAGAACCACCATCACCTTATAACCTTTATACAGCTCACCAACAAATACCACTTACACTCCCACAACTAGAATGTTAATTTCTGCAAAAGATGTCTATATCACCCAGAGGAATAAAGGTCATAAACCAAATGAGTGCCCTAATATCCTTCCAAAATACACCGGCAAATGTTTTTATTGTTTAAGTTCCAACCACTATGCAAATAATTACGCAAGTATGGAATAAGGTAAAATGATTTACATCTTCAAAGATGGTTATGTTCCTCCAGACTCTCTTTTAAATTTATTTATTTTAAAAAAAAAATTATTTATACCCCGCAGGACTTCGTTTTGTGAAAAAATACCAAACAGGAAATTAATTGACATTACCCACCAGAGAGAAAAGACATTTTTTTATTTATTTTTTAAAAAAAAACCCCCCGTTTTTTATTTATTTTATTTTATTTAAAAAACCCCCATTTTATTTATTCATTTATTTATTAAAAACCCCGTTTTTTATTTAATTTTTAAAAAACCCATTTTTTGCTTATTTTTTTTTTGAAAAACCCATTTTTTGTTTAAAATTTATGTTATTTATACATGGCTTGAGGGTCGGATGGTGGTGCTGAGACGTTGTTCTACGGGCCATTTGGCAGTGTTGAGCCATCATATAAATATATGAATTTTTTTTAATTTATTGGTCAATCAACAATTGCGTGGGTAATAACGTTGTATAACGACAAATGATCTCATGGTTGGAACGTAGCGTGCACATTTGTAAACTTGAATTTTATCTTGATTGCTTGAAGATGGACAGGGATGTTATGGCAGAATGTAGAAGGTTGAGTTCCGTGCGCTGAAATGGCCTGAGGGAATTTTTCCACGAAAAAAAAAACGAAAAAAAAAATGGGACGGCTGTCCTATTTATATGTTTTGGATTTAATAAAATAGACTATTGTCTTGACCGGAGTGATGCCTTTTTTTTTGCTCTTTGTGACGAAGAAGTCACAATTTTTGTTCTCGCACAGCACAGAAAAAGCGGTCATGTAATGCATAAAAAAGCAAAGCTTGCTTTGTGTTCTCAGTTTGAACTTGTTTAAAGAAATAATATTAATA